CACACACACACACACACACACACACGCACACACACACACACACACAAGCACACTCACGTGTATTGTGCTGGCAACGCTGGAAATATTAACAATGTTTCCTGAAAAAAGAAAAAACTTTATGGTGTTGAAAAATGTGTCAGATCATTAGATTATTATACAATCAATCTATGAACAAACACAAAAAGTCGAACAAACCTCGTATTCCAGTGTAGTGACAAAGCACCTGAGCACTTGGTGAGCACTAATTTAACAACAGCGACAAATAAACGGAATTATTTTTCACGCGTGGTGATGAAAGAGGGGTTGTAAGTATTGAACAGATCCGTTTTGGTTTTACGATCTGACACCTTGTTGGGATTACTACAACAGGAGCTGAATTATTGACCAACAGAAGGGTCCAAAATCATTTTTTACTTATCACCATCGGCATTCTCAGCAAGAATGTGAACACAATCTGCCATCCCACACTGAAATGGATCCTCATGAAGAGGGGCGAGGAAGCATGGAGCAGCCCGTCTTCCTAAGGCCCCCGTTTCACATTCAAATAATTCAAGTGAGGTGAACAATCGAGAGTGTATGACATGATATTGGCATAATATTGTATCTGATCTAAAACACAGTTCAAGTTTTTGGGAATATTGCACAAATACTAAGTTACAGAATTACGAGACATGAACAATATCATACAAGGAGGGGAAGGAGCAGTATGGGGAAACGAAAGGATGAGAAGGGAGGGGGGGGGGAGAAAAAGAAGAGGAAAAACAAGTTCAAGCACAAGTAAAACAAGTACATGATCCCTTGTAGTTTAGTTGTAGTAACTTTTGGCTCTTGCATTATATACATTTCATGTAAGTGCCGAGGATTCGTGGTGTGACTAGAGAGAAACATTTTAAAAAGGGAAACAGGAGCGATAAGGACTACAGTTGATCGACTGGAAGAAACGAGCACATCACATCAGAGCGAACGAAGAAGAAGAAAAAGAAGAAGAAGAAGAAGAAGAAGAAGAAGAAGAAGAAGAAGAAGAAGAAGAAGAAGAAGAAGAAGAAGAAGAAGAAGAA